GTAAAGGATATAGGGAAGTGATATGGTCTCCGCGACTATGCATGGCCGTCGTGGAGAGAAAATAGATTAATTACACAGTGTGTTGATGTAGCCAACATCACTCCCAATGGTACCAAAGGAATATGAAAATCTACTGCCTAGAAGCTAGTAGAACACAAACACCTGCCAATTCAGTATAGTTGGAAGGATGGGTCGTGTCTTTGGAACCCTTGCTACTGACCTCCTTTTGTTCTGCCCAGAGGGTTTCATCTGCGGGGCATGAAGTTCATCCACCTTCACCATCAATCTCGCTGAGGCTGCCCATTCCCTGTGCCGTCCATCGTTTGCCATGGCTGCAGCCATCCTGCTCAAAGCATAGCGAGAAAAAGTACAAGAACAAATGACACAGCATCATGAACATGCAAAAAACACAGGAGTAACTTCATCTACTCGTATGTCAATGTGGGATCTGTACGTTCAAAAGGTGACAGCGTATGCTGAGCGCACTGATGTCATAATCTGAGTGTACTTGCCACTCCCCCAAAACCCTCCCACAAACATCAAATTAAGGCGGCCACAGAAAGCATGAAATTTATGAACAAATTTGCTCGAGCAGGACCATTTGTACCCACAAACATCAAACCATGCACACACTGGATGCCATCCATCCGTTCGTTCATTCCTCTCTCTCACACACACACACACACACACACACACACACACACACACACAAGCACAAAAACCATGCACACACTGGATGCCATCTATCCGTTCGTTCATTCCTCTCACTCTCTGTGTGCCCCCTCTGTCCTAACCCTCCCTCCCCGGTAGAGCCCACATACTCTCCCTCTAGGCAGGGCCATTTGCACCTTCTCGGGATTCAGATGCAAAGCGTCTCTTTCGAGTCTTGTTTAGTAGTGCAAGGTTGCACCACATACTTTGTATGTTGCGGCGAATAGAAATAGTTAAGCCCCGTTAGTCTGGGTCTAACATGTTGTGTCCTTCTTAGCTTCTAACGTATTTGCATTTTCCTTCCTTCTTAATCAGTTTGTGATTAGCGGTACCAAATAATGGCGCTCCAATTAGTGTCTAGTACAACACCCAATCCCCAACAACAGATCCACATTGCTTCAAAGGTGGGTACAAGTGAAGAATCTGCAGATTAATGGTAGGCATCCCAAGCTGTGGCACTCCGTCAAACTGCATACGATACAGGTCGTAACATCCTGGATGTCTAATGTTATGCTGTTGAGTACGCAAAAATCAGCGCAGTTATGCCAGCTCACCGGTATCGCTCTTCGCATAATGCTCCAGCCTGACTCCTGATAGCTTGTGCAGCATTATTCATGGTTTGTGCAGCATTTGCTGTTTCATACACAACAGGTAAGGAGAGCTGCTCCAGAATCAGTTTCCCTTGAGAGGTTTGGCAATGTAGATGGTGCACTGGCGGCGGTACTCCGTTCCACGAATTGCTGCTCCTAGGTCCATTCCACTCCACGATGTCCATCCAGGTCATATCCGCATCTTCCATCATATCGATATCAGAGTCTCCAAACATGCGTTGTTGTCCAGCAACAACGTCCATCTCTCCCTCCGGTTCTGCACTGGCACGCCCTGCCGCTGAGACATTGACAGGGCCATGACCCACTTTCACAAGCATCTGGGCAACCATAGAATCTTTTGCTTCCATGGACGGCCACGGCAGGGCATGCGGACCCCTCCAAGTGTTCGGCTGGCGGTGCTGCTCAGGGAACGGAGGGCAATTTGGTACCTGGATAAAGCCATTATCTCTCACGGCCTCGGTCGCTGGGCAAGGCACAGGTGGTATTGCCTGACCGCTGAACCGACGAGCAGAGGTCACGACTGCACTGAAATGATGTTCAAGCAAAAACTCTTCATCAGGTTGCTGCTGGACAGAATCTAGCAGCTTCCTCGTATGCTCCTGAAAGTTCGACACCAACAGCACCGACTAGAGTCAGTCCCATCAGTCCAATTAACAGTTCTCTAGGAAATACAACATTAGGCATAGAAGAAGAATCATCCGAAACAATCGGAAAAAACTTCAAAAAAAGAGGACACTACAGGGGCTTACTGCCTAATGAGTTCAATTAAGCACCCCTCGAAAATACCACTTCAAAGTTCAAAAGAGGAGGGGGGGGGGG